GGGCCCAAGTACTTGGGCCATCCTCCACTGCACTCCCTGGCCACAGCAGAGAGCTGGCCTGGAAGAGGGGCAACCACGACAGAATCCAGCGCCCTGACTGGGACTAGAACCCAGTGTGCCGGCACTGCAAGGTGGAGGATTAGCCTCGTGAGCCGCGGTGCCGGCTTTCAAAAAATTTTTTTAAGATTTTATTTATTTGAAAGCCAGAGTTAGAGAGAGATCTTCCATCTGTTGGTTTACTCCCCAGATGGCCAGGGCTGGGACAGGTCAAAGCTAGGGAGCCAGGAGCTTCCTCTGAGTCTCCAATGTGGGTGCAGGGTCCAAGAACCTGGACCATCTTCCTCTGTCTTTCCAGGTACATTAGCAGGGAGGGGGGATGGGAATTGGACACGACGGGACTCGAACTGGTGCTGGATTAATTAGGAGGCGGCGCCCACCAGGATGGGCTCCACCCCCCCGGACCACAGCACCAGCTCCTCTTCAAAAATATTCTTATGAGTCATTATCCAGGCATGAAAACTACTTGAAGTTAACTGGAACAGTCGTATTGTCTATCCTTCCTGCCTTCAGGATCTTTTCTCAATGTTTTCTTCATGAGAGCTACTAATTTTGAGAGTGGAGTGGCAGTTCTCAAATGTAAGAGGACTGGAAGAGGACTGGATTGATCAAAGTAATGTTAACAATTTATTATAATATTTTCTATCCTATGGGCTTTTTTTTTTTTTTTTTTTTTTTTTTTTTTTTTCAGACAGAGTTAGACAGTGAGAGAGAGAAAGGTCTTCCTTCCATTGGTTCACACCTAAATGGCTGCCATGATCCGAAGCCAGGAGCCAGGAGCTTCCTCCTGGTCTCCCATGCGGGTGCAGGGCCCAAGCGCTTGGGCCGTCCTCCACTGCACTTCTGGGCCACAGCAGAGAGCTGGCCTGGAAGAGGAGGAACTGGGACAGAATCCAGCGCCCCAACCGGGTCTAGAACCCGGAATGCTGGCACTGCAGGTGGAGGATTAGCCTAGTGAGCTGCAGTGCTGGCCAATCCTATGGGCTTTTTTTTTTCTTTCAAAACATTTCTTGAAAGAGAAAGGGCGAGAGAGATCTTTGATCTGCTGGTACACTCCCCAGATGGCTGCAATGCCAGTATTGTACCAGGTTGAAGCCAAGAGCCAGGAGCTTCGTCAAGGGTCTCTCACATAGGTGGCAAGAGCCCAAACATTTGAGCCATGTCCTGTGGCTTTTCCCAGGCCCTTAGCATGGAGCTGGATCACCCAGGACAAGTAGAGCAGCCGGGACTTGAACCAGCATCCATATGGGATACCAGCATCACAGGTGGTGGCTTTACCTGATACACCACAACACTGGCTCCCCATAGGCCTTGTGAAAAGTGGAAAGATCATACATATAACAATGCAGCCACTTACCCAAGCATCATACTGAAAAACAAATAAACCTTGAACATATCCAGCTTTGTTAGGATATATTACATGTCATAAAGTTTATTTAAAGAGTACAACGCCAAGGCTTTTAGTATATTTACATGGTTGTGCAACCATCACCATTGTCTAATCTTGTAGAATTTTAATTATGTCCAAAAGAAACGAGTACCTATTCTCATAGCCTTTTGTAAACTTTGAGGCATCTTCACTCTTCTTTTTCAAAATTTTTGTTTACTTGAAAGACAGAGGGAGAGGCAGAGATCTTGCTTGTTCATCCCCTCAAATGCCTACCCCCACCAGTGCTGGGCTAGGCCAAAGCCAGGAGCCAGGAGCTCTACTGGGAGGCAGGAGCCCAAGTATTTGGGTCATCTGCTGCTGCCTGCCAGGGTACACACTGGCAGAAGCAGGGTCAGAAGTGGTTGTGGGACTTGATCCCAGGTGTTCCCATATGGGTTTGGGCATCTCTAGCAGCAGCATAACCTGCTATGCCACAATGCCCTCCACCTTCAGTCTTTTTAAAAAAGTGTATATTTGTATTTTTATATAATCAAGACTAACATAATTGAAAATAATACTTAGCAAGTAGATTTATTCAATTACTCTTTCATGAATGTTCACATTTAATCTAAAGCTTCCTTGCTTTCTGGCACAAGTGTTCCATGTTCACTGCGTGCCTTTCTGCCCCAGATAAGGAATAGGTCAACTCTATAAGGAATTTTGGGTCTTTTTAATCTTAACCTTGGGAAGTGTATTAAATAAAGTTTTTTCCTATCTCACCCAGGTTACCGGTTGGTGGAGAAGCAAATGGAATTCTCATAACATGAAAGTCCATGTTGACAAAACTACTATCACTTTAAAGGGTTATTTTTAAAAAATCTTTTCTGACTGCTTACTTCTATACCAATGGTAGATGCTGCAATATATAAGGCCACTTTAAAAAAATTTATGGGGGCTGGCATTGTGGCATAGTGGGTAATACTGCTACCTGCGACACTGGCATCCCATATGGGTGCCAGTTCAGGTCCTAGATGCTCCACCTCCAACCCAATTTGCTGCTAATGGCCTGGGAAAAGCAGCAGGAGATGGCCCCAGTATTTGGGTCCCCTGCCACCCACACGAGAGACCCAGATGAAGCTCCTGGCTCCTGGCTTCAGCCCAGCCCAGCGCTGGCCATTGTGGACATCTAGGGAGGGAACCAGCAGAAGGAAGATTTCTCTCTCTCTCTCTCTCTCTCACCCTCTCTGTAACTCTTTCAAAATAAGTAAATAAATCTTTTTAAAGAATTGTGGAAAATGGAATTAAAAGGTAAATTTATTTTGGTGCAAAACATTTTTGAAATCCATGCAGTTTTTCAAAATATACTTTTCTCATGACTTTTTTTTTTTTTTTTTTTTTTTTTTTGACAGGCAGAGTGGACAGTGAGAGAGAGAGACAGAGAGAAAGGTCTTTCTTTGCCGTTGGTTCACCCTCCAATGGCCGCCGCGGCTGGCGCGCTGCGGCCGGCGCACCGTGCTGATCCGATGGCAGGAGCCAGGTACTTATCCTGGTCTCCCATGGGGTGCAGGGCCCAAGCACTTGGGCCATCCTCCACTGCACTCCCTGGCCACAGCAGAGAGCTGGCCTGGAACACGGGCAACCGGGACAGAATCCGGCGCCCCGACCGGGACTAGAACCCGGTGTGCTGGCACCGCAAGGCAGAGGATTAGCCTATTGAGCCACGGCGCTGGCCTCTCACGAACTTTTTAAAGGTCCTTTGTACAGGAGTGAATAAAAACACATCTTGGCTGTCCGATATTTACTGCACCAATAAGCAAAATAATAGGTTTGGGGTACATGGGCAGGTATGGATGAGCCAATTCCCTCTCTTCACCTAACAGAAGTTTGGTCACCACCAAGATGATACCTTCCTGTTCATCAGGGGCTCAGGCAGGTGTAAAGCCTGAATTTGTAGGTCATTCCAGCCAACACTGTTCCCTCCATCCCAGGAGTATAAATGGATTTTCCCAGAAGCACACAATCAAGGGGGAGGTACAGGAACAGTGGCTACCACTCTGGGATAGGAGATCTCTTCCTTGGTGCTGGACAAGGTTGAGAAAAGCGCCAGAAGACAAATGGAGGGATAAGCTGTGGCAGGGGACACACTGGTCAAGGAAAGCTAGAGGAAGTATGATTTATGAAAGCCTGATACTGAAAGCGAGGAGTTTACCTTGAGAAGGACCAGGGAAGCAGTTTTCCAGATAGAGAACTGTTGCAGAGAAAAACCCCGAGCCAGAGTTTGGTGAGTCTGTTGAGATGAGGAGGTTGGAGAGGCAGAAGGGGGCCACATCTTGAAGGTCCTATAGGTTGTGACAGAAACTGGTTATTCTGAGAATAATGGGAAGCCATGTTAGGGTTTAAGCAGGGATACTGCATGATCTTAACTATATACAGACAAAAACAAACACCACAATCTGTATTTGAAAAATCGATCATCATTTATATTTTGGAAAGAGTTAAGGCGCAAATATTCAACACACAAGATGGAGGAGGGGGCCGGCACTGTGGCACAGGTTAACCATGCGCCTGTGGCACCGGTTTGTGTCCTGGATGCTTCTGTTCCGATCCAGCTCTCTGCTATGGCCTGGGAAAGCAGTACAAGATGGCCAAGTCCTGGGGCCCCTGCACCCACGTGGCAGACTCGGAAGAAGCTCCTGGCTTTGGGTCAGCTCAGCTCTGGCCATTGCAGCCTTTTGGGGAGTGAACCAGCAGATGGACTACCTCTCCCTCTGTCTCTCCCTCACTTTGTAACTATGTCCCTCAAGTAAAATAAATAAATTAAAAAAAAAAGATGGAGAATGTTGTGTTCTCATCTGTTCTAAATAAATTCTTGTAAATTATAAGCACCCTTAGAAAGCCAGACTTGTTCTTTCACTTCGTTGCTACCTTCTGTTCTCTCAAGAGAAATCCAGACTTCAACTTCTTCAGCACTATAGGTCCTGATGTTACTGAGGACAATAACTTTTAAAATGTCTGCAAATCCATATGCGAACAAGGATGTGGTGACTTATCAAGAAACAGTGTATTCCTTAAACTAGGGTTGGTCATTCCTCGCCCATCGTCTGCGTTTATTCCTTTCACCCTGGCTGGGGACTGAGCGTGCTCAGAGTGGCCTTCTCAAGAAGCTGCGTGTTAGGTGGGTCAGGCAGCGAACTCCACCCAGGCCAGCTCCCCAGCTGCAGTCTCGCTGTCGCTTCAGGACCTGGCACCGCCACGGGAGCAGCAAGCGCTCCTAAGAGGCATCTTTCCCAAGAGCCTAGTCCCTCCGTGATCAGCTGGTTGTGGAGTCTGCAAAAAGCCCTGGAGCTGAAACGCAATCCCAAGCCTAGGCAGGCCGAGGGAAGTGAAGCAACACTCCAGTATCTCGGTCTTGCATATTCATAGGGCCAGTCTACAAGCCTTCAGACCAACACTGGGGTAACCAGGCTATCTGCGTTGGCTAACGCGCCTGCGCCTGGGCCGGCGCGGGGCGGAACTTGCGTGCTGACGCAGGACGCCGTGCGTGGTCGCGTCTTTGCACGGCAGCCCGCGGGCCATGACCGTTGTTGGGCTTCGCACCTCAACGGTCGTTGATGTGTTTTGCTGATGCTGCTTTCTGGCTTTGCTGAAAGGCAGGACGTCGTGCATTCGGGCCATCTGTTCTGATTTTCGCCAAGCAAAGTGCTTGTGAGTGGCTGGTGCTGGGTAAAAATGATGGCTGGGGGCGGGGAGGAATAAAAAAAGTCTTGGTGTCCCAGTCCCTCGCCTTATTAGATACTTTGCACCCCCATCCACAGCCCAGGAAATTCTTTGGCTTTCCTTCTCCCCCAGCTCCAGCATCTGCAAACTCAAGAGGTAGTTGAGATGTTCATTGCCGTAAATACCTGGTAGCTGTCAGAGGGCTTCATTTAGGGGATTTGGTTCCACTGAAAATTGCCCTATCCCTGGCAGGTTCTCAAAATGTCAACGGTGAAGGAACAGCTTATTGAGAATCTGACTGCAGAAGATAAAACCTCCCAGTGCAAGATCACCATTGTTGGAACTGGTGCCGTCGGCATGGCGTGTGCTATTTGTATCTTGCTGAAGGTGAGTACTTGGTCCATCTGTGGCTGGAAATCAAAAATCAAAGAAGCACTTTTTTTTTTTTTTTTGACAGAGTTAGACAGTGAGAGAGAGAGACAGAGAGAAAGGTCTTCCTTCCATTGGTTCACCCCACAAATGGCCGCTACAGCTGGAGCACTGCACTGATCCGAAACCAGGAGCCAGGTGCTTCCTCCTGGTCTCCCATGTAGGTGCAGGGCCAAGGACTTGGGCCATCCTCCACTGCATTCCCGGGCCACAGCAGAGAGCTGGACTGGAAGAGGAGCAACCGGGACAGAATCGGCGCCCCAACAGGGACTAGCACCCGGGGTGCCGGCGCCGCAGGTGGAGGATTAGCCAAGTGAGCCACAGCACTGGCCCAAAGAAGCATTTTTTTTTTTTTTTTTTTTTGCTCTTGTATGTTGATGCGTTCAGGATGCAAGGGCTAATTCTTTGACAGCAAATATATATCTTGCCATCTGATTCTGACACAATTTAGGAAATACTTGGAACTGAGCCTTGCTAGACTATTTTTAAAAATATTTTATTTATTTTAGAGCTGGAGAGACAGAGAGAAAGGTGTTTCATTTGCTGGTTTGTTCCCCAAATGGCTGCAATGGCCAGAGCTGTGCCAATCCAAAGCCAGGAGCCAGGAGCTTTTCTGGGTCTCCCACATCTGTGAAGGGGCCCAAGCACTTGGACCATCCTGTACTGTTTTCCCAGGCCAAAGTAGAGAGCTGGATCAGAAGAGGAGAAGCCAGAACTAGAACCAACACCCATATGGGATGCCAGCACCACAGGTGGAGACTTAGCTCACTAGCCACAGTCCCAGCCCCAAAACTATTTAAATGTATTCATAGGGGCGGCCTGTTGGTGCACAAGAGCCACTTGGGGGCTGGCACTGTGGCATAGTGGGTACAGCCGCCACCTGCAGTGCTGGCATCTCATATGGGCACTGATTTGAGTCCCAGCTGCTCCACTTCTGATCCACTTCCCTGCTATGGCCTGGGAAAGTTCTTGTGCCCCTGCACCCGCAGGGGAGACCTGGAAGAAGCTCCTGGCTCCTGGCTTCGAATCGGCACAGCATTGGCTGTTGCAGCTATCTGGGGAGTGAACCAGTGGATGGAAGAATCCTCAGGTCATGTTGGTGTACACTGTGGAGTAAATAGAAACTAATGAAGGATATTAAAATATACATATTCATGGAGTAGGTATTTGGCCTAGTGTATGTAAGGTGCCAGTTGAGAAGCCCATGTTCCATTTCAGAGTGCCTGGGCTTGGTATTTGTCTGTGGCTCCCAAGTCAAGCTCCCTGCTAATCTAGATCCAGGCAAGCAGCAGATGACGGCTCAATTAGTTGGGTATCTGCCACCGACATGGGAATTCTGGATTAAACTCCTGGCTTCTGGCTCCAGCCATGGCCATTGTGGGTATTTGGAGAGTAAACCAGTAGATGGGGAAGCTTTCTTTGTCTGCCTCTCAAATAAATAAATACTTAAAAATATTCATATTCATATATCCCACTGACTTGAACAGACAGGCTGTAATAAACATCTTACCTTCTGGGGGCTGTCATTGTGGTGCAGTAGGTTAATCTTCTGCCCATGGCACTGGCACTCCGTATGAGTGCCGGTTCTAGTCCTGGCTGCTCCTCTTCTGACCCCGCTCTCTGTTGATGGCCTGGGAAAGCAGTGGAAGATGACCCAAGCACTTGGGCCCCTGCACATGCGTGGGAGACCTGGAGGAGGCACCTGGCTGCTGGCTTCAGACTGGCCCACTTCCAGCCGTGGCAGCCATTTGGGAAGTGAACATCAGTGGATGGAAGACCTTTCTCTCTGGCTCTCCCTCTCACTGTCTGTAACTCTACCTGTCATAAATAAATAAATAAAATCTTTAAAAAATGAAAAAAATCTTACCTTCTTCATATGTCATTGAAAGACAAACTTTAAAGTGTTTATAAAGACATGTAAAATTTTTAGAAATATGTGGACTCAACATTTTTCCCTGTCTGGTGCGGAACAAAGTAGCCATAAAAGTTTTCCTTAAACTGATTTTTAAAAAAAGATTTATTTATTTATTTAAAGAGTTACAGAGAGAGAGAGGAGAGGCATAGAAAGAGAGAGAGAGAGAGGTCTTCCATCCGCTGGTTCACTCCCCATTTGGCCACAACGGCTGGAGCTATGTTGATCTGAAGCCAGGAGCCAGGAGCTTCTTTCGGGTCTCCCACATGGGTGCAGGGGCCCAAGGGCTTGGGCCATCCTCTACTGCTTTCCCAGGCCATAGCAGAGAGCTGGATTGGAAGTGGAGCAGCCAGGTCTCCAACCAGCGCCCATATGGGATGCTGGCGCTTAAGGCCAGGGAGTTAACCTGCTGCGCCACAGTGCCAGCCCCTAAACTGATTTTGTTTTAAAGATTTATTTTATTTATTTGAAAGACAAAGTTACAGAGAGAGGTAGAACAGAGAGAGAAGTCTTCCATCCACTGGGTCACTCCCCAGATGGCCACAATGGTTGGAGCTGTGCCGATCGAAGGCAGGAGTCAGGAGCTTCCTCCGGGTCTCCCACGTGGGTGCAGGGGACCAAGGACTAGGGCCATCTTCTACTGCTTTCCCAGGCCATAGCAGAGAGCTGGATTGGAAGAGGAGCAGCCTGGACTAGAACCAGCGCCCCTATGGGATGCCGGTACTTCAGGCCAGGGCTTTAACCTGCTGCATCACAGTGCCGGTCCCTTAAACTGATTTTTTTTAAAAGATTTATATATTTATCTGAAAGAGTTACAGAGAGAGAGAAGGAGAGGCAGAGAGAGAGAGAGAGAGAGAGAGAGAGAGAGGTCTTCCATCTGCTGGTTCACTTCCCAAATGACTGCAATGGCTGGAACTGCATTGATCTGAAGCCAGGAACCAGGAGCCTCCTCCAGGTCTCCCACATGGGTGCAGGGGACCAAGGACTTGGGCCATCTTCTACTGCTTTCCTAGGCCATAGCAGAGAGCTGGATTGGAAGTGGAGCAGCTGGGACTTGAACTGGCGCCCATATGTGACATATGGCACTGCAGGCAGCACCCACTCTGCCACAGTGCAGGTCCCCCTTAAACTGATTTTTAAAAATATTTATTTATTTACTTATTTGAAAGGCAGAGTGATAGAGATGAGGGAAACAGAGATGGGGAGAGAGAGAAAAAAGAGGGAGAGGGAGAGGGAGAGGGAGAAAGGGGGGGAGGGAGAGAGAGAGAGAGAGACTTTCATTTGTTGGTTCACCCCCACATGCCTGCAAGAGCTGGAGTGAGTCCAAAGCAAGAGTCAGGGACTCCATCTGAGTCTTGCACGTGGGTGGTAGCGACCCAGGTACTTGGCCATCACTTGCTACCTTCCAGACACTTTAGCAGGAAGGTGAATTGCAAGTAGAGTAGCTGGACTCTCACCAAACACTCCCATATGGGATGCAGGTGTCCTAAGCAGTGGCTCAAGCTGCTGTGCCACAGCATCCACCCCACTTAGACCGATTTTCATTTTCTGTTCTCTGCCTTACTATGGTCATTCTGATACTCTCTGGAGAAAAGATCCTGGAGGTGGTCGTATAACTGCTCTTAAAAATTCTGGTAGGCTAAGCAAGCCCAGGCCTCTTTTTAAAAAATTCTATTTGAGAAATGACTCACAAAGACGTAGTAATTCTTAAAAAATACCAGACAAACAAGCAAGAAAACAAAAACTTTTAGAGACTATGTTCACTCTGTTTTGATAATTAAGGAGGGTGGAGGTGGGAAGATTCCTTTTGTAAAAGAATTGTCTGGTAGCCTGTTGCAAAGGGATAGAAATCAAATTGAAAGAATAATTTAAAAATTGTATTGGTTATTAAATGATTGTCACTCAGCTCCAAAGCCAACTTTGTGTACTCCATTTTGTGGTGTTGGTGCTAGATCTCTGCATAACGTTTCCCTCCTTTGCCAGTTGGCATCCCGTTAGGTTCTACCGAGAAGGGGCACTGGAGGGAAATTGGAAGGTAACAGGAGGAGAGGAGTGTTTGCTTGTTGTTCTCTGACTGTCATCCCAGCCACGGCTCTTTGCCCCAGTGCTAGAGGTTGGTTTTAGCTTCTGGAACTCTGAGCTTCAGCCTCATCTTGTCCCTTTGGTGATAGCAACAGCAGCAGCAGCTGTATTTTGCCTTTGGCAGCGGTCTCAGCCTGGCTCCATAAAGTACCACTGTAGTCTCTCTGTTCCCCTTAGCCTTGTGAATGGTGGCTTCTACTGCAGTGCTGTCTGTCTCTGCTTACTGCAAAGTATTCCCTTTATGCTCTTTGAGCCCTTTAAACATCAGTCTACATTCAGTCTATATATATATAATGTATTTGAAAGACAGAGTCACAGAGAGAAGTAGAGACAGAGAGAGAGGTCTTCCATCTGTTGGTTCACTCACCAGTTGGCCAAAATGGCTGGAGCTGTGCTGATCAGGAGCCAGGAGCTTCTTCCAGGTCTCCCCCGTGGGTGCAGGGGCCCAAGGACTTGGGCCATCTTCTACTGCTTTCCCAGGCCATAGCAGAGAGCTGGATCAGAAGAGGAGCAGCCAGGACTTGAAGCGGCAGCCATATGGGATGCCGGTGCTTCAGGCCAGGGCTTTAACCCGCTGCGCCACAGCGCTGGCCCCAACATCAGTCTACATTAATTTCTCTCTGTTGAAATTCTTAGAGTGGTTTCTGTTTTCCTGATTAGACCCAGATAGAGATACAGACTGATGTAAAAGTGAATCTATAATTGTAAAAGTGAATCTATAAATATGATCTGTTTTTCTTTTCAGTTAGCTAAGAAGTGTTATGTGATGGTTCTAGATAAAACTTCTTATTCTCCTCTGATTACTGATATATTACACATGATTTACTAAATTTTAGAATATTGCTGGCCTTGTTTATATCCACAGGTTCCACATACATAGACTAAATCAGCCAAGAATTGAAATTAGAAAAAGCCAGGAGCAAGGAATTCCATTCAGGTCTCCCATGTGGGTGACAGAGCCCAGGCAGTTGAACCATCATGTGCTGCTTCCTAGGATATACTAGCAGGAAGCTGCTACAGAAGCAGAGCAGCTGGGAATGTGGGCATCCCAAACAGCAGTTTAACCAGCTACACCGCAATGCCAGCCCCACATACAACCATTTGAAACGAGTGACTGGAGCATCTCTGGATGATGGGATCTGAACAGGGTCTTGAAACCACTCATCCGTCTATCCATGGATAACACGAAATGACTACATACAGTTTTCCACAAAGGCCAGATGGTATCTGATCTCAGAAAAAAACAGTAGCAAGTAGGGACTTTGACCCTTGTCTTTTTTTTTTTTTTTTTTTAAGATTTATTTGTTTGAAAGAGTTACAGAGGCAAAGGCATAGAGAAAGAGAAAGAGGTCTTCCATCCGCTGGTTTACTCCCTAGTTGGTTGCAGCAGCTGGAGCTATGCCGATCCAAAGCCAGGAGCCTGGAGCATCTTCCAGGTCTCCCACATGATTGCAGGGTTCCAAGGACTTGGACCATCTTCTACTGCTTTCCTAGGCTATAGCGGAGAGCTGGATTGGAAGTGGAGCAGTTGAGACTCGAACTGGTGCCCGTATAGGATGGCATTTCCAGTGCTGGCTTTACCCGCTATACCACAGTGCTGGCCCCAACCCTTGTCTTTTACTGTTAACCTTTGGAAATCTGGCCACTGGAATCTGAGAAAATGCATTTCTGCTGTGTATTTCTGCATTCCATTTTTGTCTAATCAAAATTCAAATTTGAGTCAGCAAAAAGAGACTACGTTGAGCAGGAAGCTGAAAAATCTAAGAGCAGAACTAGCTTCTGGTGGTACTGGATTCTGACGTTCAGATATATCAAGACATAGTTCCTGATATCTTGACTCAGATTTATTTCACTGACTTAATTCCTAGGCATGTTCTTCCTAAATGGAAGATGGCTATGCAGTTTATTCTTAGTCTTTTTTTTTTAATTTATTTATTTGACAGGCAGAGTTACAGACAGAGAGAGAGAGAGAGAGAGAGAGAGAGAGAGAGAGAAAGGTCTTCCTTCCATTGGTTCACTCCCCAAGTGGCCACAATGGTCAGAGCTGTGCCGATCCGAAGCCAGGAGCCAGGAGCTTCCTCCTGGTCTCCCATGTGGGTGCAGGGGCCCAAGCACCCAGGCCATCTTCTGCTGTTTTCCCAGGATACAGCAGAGAGCTGGATCAGAAGAGGAGCAACCAGGACTAGAAACCGGTGCTTATATGGGATGCCAGCACTGCAGGCAGAGGCTTAACCTAGTGTGCCATGGCGCCGGCCCTATTCTTAATCTTATGTCATTCTTAGAGCTCAGGATTCCAAAGAGAAGTGAGATTTAGTATCCTAACTTCCGTTTTCAAATCTTGTGGAAATTGTGTCCATTTTTGTGCCTGTGCCATATGCTGATTTGTGAACTAATTGCTATGGCTAGAAGGAAGGGATGGAACAGTTGGCTGACTCTGGTTATGGTTTGGAGGACCAGTGTTTAACTGTTGTACGGCACCACACCACATTCAGTGGGTTCCTGCAGGGAACAGGAATTCTATTACCAGAAAAGGGGATACTGGGGACAAATAGCAAGAAAGAGCTGGGGAAAACAGCAGATGTTCGTTGTCAGTCGCTGCTTTTCTTTTCTTTCTTTTTTTTTTTTTTTTAAGCATGCATGCTAAAAGCAGCTTGATCCAACTCAGAAAATAGGCTTGATATCAAGTATAAAAATTCCTTTAAAAGAATGTCATAACTTTACATATTTAAAATATTTACTTATTTATTTGAAAGGCAGAGAGACAGAGAAAAAGGGATGGGAGAGGGAGGGACGGAGAGGGGGTGGATAGAGGGGGAGGGAGATGGAGGTTGATCTTCCATTTACTGATTCACTCTGCAAATACTTTGCAGCAGACTGGGCTAAGCCAGGCTGAAGCCAGGAATCTGGATCTCTACCCAGGTCTCCCATATGGGTGTCAATAACACAAGTACTTGGGCCATTATCTGATGCCTCCCAGGTGCATTAGCAGGAAGTAGGGCCCCTGCATCCATGTGGGAGACTCAGAAGAAGCTCCTGGCTCTTGGCTTCGGTCTGGCCCAGCCCTGGCCACTGTAGCCATTTGGCGAGTGAACCAGCGGATAGGAAGTACAGTAGCCATGACTCAAACCAGGCACTCTGACCATGGGATACAGGCATCCCAAGTGGTGGCTTAAACCACTGTGCCACAATGCCCTCTCTTCACTGACTATACAATTGTTATGTGAAAGGTAAAAAAGTCCCAATTCTAGCAATTTCAAAACAATTATGTGAAGGCAAAGACAGTAATACTTTTTGCTACTTCCTAATATTTACCTTGACTTCTGGTGCATTTAAGACACACTCAAGGGGCTGGCACTGTGGTGTAGAGGGTGAAGCCACCATCTGCAGAGCCGGCATCCCACTTGGCTGCTTCTCCTCCGATCTAGCTCTCTTCCTTGTGGCCTAGAAAAGCAGTAGAAGGGGCCCAAATCGTTGGGCCCCTGCGCCTGAGCGGGAGACCTGGGAGAAGCTTCTGGCTCCTGGCTCTTGGCTTTGGACTGGTGCAGCTCCAGCAGTTGTGCCATCTGGGGAGTGAACTAGTGCAGATGGAAGATCTCTCTCTTCTCTCTCTCTCTCTCTCTCTGCCTCTCAAATAAATAAATCTGGGGGGGGGGGGGGACAGAAAGAAAGATAAGGGCCTGGCCAGTGCTGCGGCTCACTAGGCTAATCCTCCGCCTTGCGGCGCCGGCACACTGGGTTCTAGTCCCGGTCGGGGCGCCGGATTCTGTCCCATTTGCCCCTCTTCCAGTCCAGCTCTCTGCTGTGGCCAGGGAGTGCAGTGGAGGATGGTCCAAGTGCTTGGGCCCTGCACCCCATGGGAGACCAGGATAAGTACCTGGCTCCTGCCATCGGATCAGCGCGGCAAAAGGAAGACTTTTCTCTCTGTCTCTCTCTCTCACTGTCCACTCTGCCTGTCAAAAAAAAAAAAAAAAAAAAAAAAAAAGAGAGAGAGAGAAAGATAAGGGCCTAAAAACCTGTCTGGCCCTTAAAAAAGATTCAAAAACTATTTTTGTATCGTTTATTCTCCTACCATAAATATGAGACTCCTTTGATTATAAAGCTTCTTATGCTCCTAGAACTCACACAGGAACACTTCCCGGAACATCTTATTTAGAACTTCCATGCATTTCAGGATTTGGCTGATGAACTCGCCCTTGTTGATGTTGCAGAGGACAAACTGAAGGGAGAGATGATGGATCTTCAGCATGGCAGCCTTTTCTTTAGCACTTCAAAGATTACATCTGGAAAAGGTTAATTTTCGTTTTATGAAGTTATTTTCAGAGATTAAGAAAAAGTAATGTTTATTAAGTTGATATAAATAAACATAAAATAATAAAATCATTTTGTCATTAGGACAAAGTTTGTAAGAAAAGAACGCTATAATTAGAGGAGATTTGGCAAATACAGGAAAGTGTAAAAAACTTTGAATCTTTTCTGTTATGATTTTGTTTAATTCTTTCTATCTTTGTTTTTTACTTAATTGGCATTATAGTATATGAATATTTTTTTAAACTTGTCATTTAGTCTGACAGTCTTGAATAACTTTTGTAATATCGATATATTTATATGTACTCTTTAACACAGTTTTTTTCCTATAGTAGAGAACCAAGTTTTAAGACATGAGATGAGGCCACAGAACACAGGAAATGCAGAATTTGACCCTATTATCATTACCATCATGCATAGGCCAACTAAGATGCTTCAGAAAATTAGGAAAAAAATAATTGTTTTGTTATACACTGACGTGTACTCCTGTAGTGCCATCTTTGGTAATATGGCTCAACAGGTGGACTCTCTGCTGAAGCTCTGTCATCTAACATGATTGGAATGAAGGTAGCAACTTAATGTAAATGTAGCTGTTAGAAAGGACCACCACTTGTTCTGTGCTGTGGTGCAGCAGGTTGTTCCTCTGCCTGCGGTGCTGGCATCCCATATGGACACTGGTTCGTGTCCCAGCTGCTCCTCTTCTAATCCAGTTCTCTGCTTTGGGCTGGGAAGGCAGTAGAAGGTGGCCCAAGTGGTTGGGCCCCTGCATCCATGTGGGAGACTCAGAAGAAGCTCCTGGCTCCTGGCTTCGGTCTGGCCCAGCCCTGGCCACTGTAGCCATTTGGCGAGTGAACCAGCGGATGTAAGACCTTTCTCTCTGTCTCTCCCTCTCTCCCTCTCTCTATCTATAATTAACTTTACATCTCAAATAAATAAATAAATAAAGTCTTTAAAAAAATGAAAGAAAGGACCACCCAAATTTTGTATATTGACTTAAAACATGTAATTATACTCAGAAGTTTATTTGCCAATTTTCTGATTGTAGGGGGACATTTGAGTATGGATTACCAGATGAGAATTTCATATTATCTTTCTTTGCTTTCTTTTTTAAAAGAGTTATTTATTTGAAAGAATTACAGGGGTGACTGGAGGGATATTCCATCTGCTGGTTCACTACCCAGATGGCTTCAAAGGCCAAGGCTAGGGCAGGCCAAATCCAGGAGGCAGGACCTTCATCCAGGTCTCCTATGTGAGTGACCCCGTGCCCAGATAGTTGGGCCACTCTTGGTTGCTTTTCCCAGGCCAATAGCGCGGAGCTGGATTGGAAGTAGAGCAACCGGAACATGAACTGGTGGTACCCACAGGGGATGCCAACATCTCAGGCAGCAACTCTGCCCGCTATGCCACAGTGCCAGCCACCTGAAATGTCTTTCTTTTTCTTTCTCTCTCTCTCTCTCTCTCTCTCTTTCTTTCTTTCTTTCTTTTTTTTTTTTTTTGACAGGCAGAGTGGACAGTGAGAGAGAGACAGAGAGAAAGGTCTTCCTTTTGCCGTTGGTTCACCCTCCAATGGCCGCTGTGGCCGGCGCGCTGCGGCCGGTGCATCACGCTGATCCGAAGGCAGGAGCCAGGTGCTTCTCCTGGTCTCCCATGGGGTGCAGGGCCCAAGCACTTGGGCCATCCTCCACTGCACTCCCTGGCCACAGCAGAGAGCTGGCCTGGAAGAGGGGCAACTGGGACAGAATCTGGTGCCCCGACCAGGACTAGAACCCGGTGTGCCAGTGCTGGAAGGCAGAGGATTAGCCTAGTGAGCCACGGCGCCGGCCTGAAATGTCTTTCTGAAGGCACACCAAAAATGGTCATTTTGATTTTTTTAAAAGTGATTTTTTTTCTTAAGAGAGCTAGTGTTGTGGCGCAGCAGGTTAAGCTGCTACCTGTTGTTGCACAGACATCCTATGTAAGTGCTATTTTGAGTCCTGTCTGCTGCTCCATTTCTGATCTAGCTTCCTGCTAACATGCTTGGGAAAGCAGTGGAAGATGGCCTCAAGTGCATAGGACCCAGCACCCACGTGGGAGACCCAAATGAAATTATGGGCTGCTGGTTGACCTGGCTCAGCCCTGGCTGTTGCAGCCATTTGGGGATTGAGCCAGTGGATGGAAGATGTCATTCTGTCTCTCCCTCTCTCTCTCTCTGTAACTCTATCAAAATAAATAAATATTAAAAAGAATAATATAAGAAACTTAAAGAGACTCATGTAGCAATTTGATCATGAAACTCTCAGTTTTGTGATTTTCCTTCATTTTTCTCTTAAAGCTATAGAATTGTTTTTTAGAGACTCATTTTTTTGAAAGCGTTGGAGAGCAGGAGACACACACACACACACACACACACAGATATCTTCTATCTGCTGGTTCACTTCCCAGATGGCTGCAATGGCCAGCACTGGGCCAGACCAAAACCAGGAGCTTCATCCGAGTCTCCCATGTCGGTGGCAGGGGCCCGAACACTTGGGCCACATCCTTGGCTACTTTTCCCAGGCCATTAGCAGGGAGTGAGAGAGGAAGTGGAGCAGCCAGGACACAAATCAGTGCCCACATGGGATACCAGCATAGCAGGCAGAAGCTTTACCCTCTGTGCCACAACACTGACCCCTGAAAAGGCAATTTTTAAGCAACTGACTTTTAGTTAATCTTTCCAAAGCATTCAATTTAGTTTTAATAGAGACGATTATTTTTAAGGTTAACTAATTATAAAAGATTTGACAGAGATTAAAGCTACCTATTCATATCCCACTGTCCTCCAAATCTCAATCTTTTTTTAAAAAGATTATTTATTTGAAAGGGAGGGGGGGGGAAGGAGGGAGGGAGAGAGAGAAAGAGAGAGATCTTCCATCTGCCAATCCACTCAGATGTTCACAATGGCTGGGGCCAGGCCAGGCTGAAGCCAGGAACCAGGAGCCTCTTCCAGGTCTCCCACATGGTGACAGGGGCCCAAGGACTCAGGTCTCCTCTTCTGCTCTCCCAGTTATACCAGTAGGGAGCTGGATTGGAAGTGGAGCACCCAGTTCTCAAACCATTGCCCATATGGGATGCTGGCACCGCAGGGGGAGGCTCAACCCCCCACACCACAATGCCAGCTCCAAAACCTCCACCTTGACCATGTTGTTTACCATGATTTCTTTCATATTTAATGGTTTGTAATATAACTAGTATAAGTACATTGTAATATAACTGGTATAAATACATTTGGTTACAAACGTAGCTAAATCTGCATGTGCAGTGACAGATGAGCAAAGAGCACTGACTTACTAGATGGTAATCAGCCAGCTGCCAGCATTCAGTATATCTCTGGTGGATTGGTTAAGTGAAGTCAAGTTAAAAGACCTACTATTGCCTTAAAATACTTTAAGAAAATCATTCCGCCTTCAATTTCAAATAACAAATAAGGCATTTTCAGAACAGACCCTGAGTGGAGTGAAGGAAACCAGAGAGTTAAACTGAACACTATAGCTAGTTTTCACTCAACAGCCTTAGCCAAACTGGTGAATACCAATTTTGGTTTTCACTGCCTCCCAGAATTTAGGGGGCCAGAGAGAGTCTAAGCTGTGTCCCAGTGGACCACGCTGGGATCAGTAAACTTTTTCTGTAAAGGACCAGATGAGAAATATTTTAATTTTGTCTGGCTAACGTCATCTTTGTCTCAGCTACTCAACTCTGTTGTAGATAATACATAAGTCAGTGGACAGCCATCCTCGGCTACCTCTGAGGACCACAAGAAAAATTAAGTGCCTTAGAAACGACTGCTGAGGATTTGCAGTCACAAGCTGGTTCTTAATTGAGTTATGAAAAGTGTGAAGCAACCAGATAACCTGCAGGACACTCACTCTTTCAGTCTGTAAAGAGCTTCCACAAAATTCCAAGGAAACTGAACATCTCATAATAGAAATAATTAAACTTTCCTTTTTTAAAAAGACTTATTTTTAAAAAATTTATGTGAAAGGCAGAGTTACAGAGAGGCAGAGAGAGAGAGAGAGAGAGAGAGAGAGAGAGAGATTTTTCCATCTGCTGGTTGACTCTCCAAATGGCCACAATGGCTGGAGCTGGGCTGATCTGAAGCCTGGAGCCAGGAGCTTCTTCTGGGTCTCCCACATGGGCACAGGGGCCCAAGCACTTGGGCCATCTTCTTACTGCTTCCCTAGGCCGTAGCAGAGAGATGATTGGAGGAGTAGCAGCCAGGACTCAAACTGGTGCCCATGTGGGATGCTAACAAAGCAGGCACTGCTATGCCACAGTGCTGGCCCCAAAATAAACTTTCAAGAAAATGTACAAGCAAAAACAAGTTGGAGTAATAGAAATAGATTACTATCAATTTCAAATTAGCAAATATCTCTGTCTCTTTCAAAATAAATTTAAAAACTAATGGGATAGAGAATAATTTAGCTAATTTCACAATTTAATTCACATGCTAATGAAGTTAGTCTTAGAGCTCTTCTTATCTTTAAAACTTAACTAGGGCGGTGCCCGTGGCTCCTCTGCCTGTGGCGCCGGCACCCCGGGTTCTAGTGCCGGTCGGGGCGCCGGATTCTGTCCTGGTTGCTCCTCTTCCAGTCCAGCTCTCTGCTGTGGCCTGGGAGTGCAGTGGAGGATGGCCCAGGTCCTTGGGCCCTGCACCCCATGGGAGACAGGAGAAACACCTGGCACCTGGCTCCTGGCTTTGGATCAGCGCGGTGCGCTGGCTGTAACGACCATTTGTGGGGGGTGAACCAACGGCAAAGGAAGATCTTTCTCTCTGTCTCTCTCTCTCTCTCACTAACTCTGCCTGTCAAAAAAAAAAAAAAAAAAACTTAACTAAAATTTATCCACATTTATTTGTTTTAGAATTGTGTTACCTCTATATGACTTAAGTCTTCAATTATAGACCTGGAAAAGAACTCTCAGCTGTATAATACTTTGAAAAAAAAAAAAAAAAAAACAGTCCAGCATGGCATGGGTTAGTAAGCATTGCATCATGTCAGCACTGGACTCAATGGGTGAAACAGTGGAGATTGGTTGTTAATTTTACTAAGCAGTGTATCTTCTTATGTGCATCAAGAACTTGTTTGTGATCTCAAATCCAGTTCTTTATAATAGTTGTAAATGCATTCCTAGTCTTAGAATGCAGAAACAGACGCAGGTTCTCAAAATTTCTAATTTATTATGGTATTTCTCAGAAATCAGAGAGCTGGGCCTTAATGACAAATGAGAATGTGGGTTAAAGGGGATGGTAAATTCTGTTGTTCTGGAAGTTTGGAGCCTACTATGTGAAAATTGGCAAGTAGTTGTGAGAAGTGCTCCTTCAGGTTATGCAAAATAATCGTACTGCAGAGAAAGTCTGTTAACCTGCAGATGTTGGACTTGAAAGCCAGTAAGTATTTTAACACCAAGAACATGCAGTAGACTTTTCAAGAGTTCAGGCATAGTGATCCTGGGAATCTTGATCCACATCTTGTTTTTTGTTCCTTTTCAGATTACAGCGTGTCTGCAAACTCCAAATTAGTTATTGTCACAGCAGGTGCAAGGCAGCAGGAGGGAGAAGGTCGCCTTGCTCTGGTCCAACGTAATGTGAATATCATGAAATCAATCATTCCTACCATAGTCCGTCACAGCCCTGACTGCAAAATGCTTATTGTTTCAAATCCAGGTGAGTCTTTCCCGCTCGTTTTTACTGCCTAAAGATGATATTCCATATCATTGCTTTTTTTTTTTTTACAAAAACAATTTCATTGCTGTAGTAACATTATGTACAAGAAACTGCACTCATTCAGTGTATAGAAAGGAAGGCATTTTGATGGATGAAATCACTGTTCAGAAAAGCAAATTGTGAAAAAAAGTTATGATGAATCTTTTCCAACATGATACTACTGTTCTTACTAGTGGATATTTTGACATACGTGGTTTGGAAGCTAAGTGGCTTACCTGCGACTCGTGTAATTGGAAGTGGCTGTAATCTCGATTCTGCCCGTTTCCGTTACCTAATTGGAGAGAAGTTGGGTGTCCATCCCACAAGCTGCCATGGCTGGATTATTGGAGAGCATGGTGATTCTAGTGGTGAGTATAAACCTATTATCATTGTATAATTACTCTGCCTACCTCTAATAATGCTTATTTTCTTTAAAATTTGTTTTTATGATGTTAATGTAGCTCTCTAACTTTCATTTTGTTGCTGTTTCCTTGGTGTATCTTTTTCTATTCCTTTTAAAAATGTTTTTAATTGACACATAATGTGCGTATTTATGAGGAACAGTGTAATGATTTGGTACATGTGTATATCATGTAATGACCCAATCAGAGTAATTGGCCTATCTATCACTTTATACATTCACAAGTTTTTTCAGGTGAGAGCATTTAAAAAGCACTCTCCTACCTATTTTGGAATATACAGTGCATTATAGTTAACTGTAGCCACTTGTTCCTCCTGTCTTCCTGTGCCTGTGACCAGTCTCTCCCCATCATACACTTCCTCTGCCCCTTCCCAGTTTCTGATAGTCACTGTTCGACTCTTTGCTTGTGTATGCTCAACATTTTTAAATTCCACACGTGAGTGAAGTTATACATTGTCTTTCTGTGTCTGGTTTATTTCAGTTAGTATAATGTTCCCCAGGTCACAAATGACAAGAATTTCTTTCTTTTTTTCCAACTGAATAGCCTTCCATGGTGTGTGTGTGTGTGTGTGTGTGTATACACACATACACATACACATTTTATCCATTCATCTGTCTTTGGAAATTTAGGTTGATTTCTAATCTTGGCTGTTATGAATAGTGTTGCTGTAAATATGAGTGTGTAGCTATCCTTCTGATATAATGATTTCATTTCCTTTGGTTTTATGCCTGGTAGCAGGCTTGCTGGATGCTATGACAATTCTGTTTTCAGTTTTTTAAGACAAAAATTTTTTTTTTGCAATTCTGTACTGATTTACATTCTCATCAGCAGTGTATGGGAGTTCTCCTTTGTCCATAACTTCTCCAGCATTTTTTTTCTTGACTTTGAAAGTAGCCATTATAACTACACTAAGATGCCATCTTGTTGTGATTTAATTTGAATATCACTGATCAGTGGTGTTGAGCATCTTTTCATTTACCTGTTGGCCACTTGTATATTTTCTTTTGAGAAATGTCTGTTCAAATCTTTTGCTAATTAATTTTTAAAAATTGAAGTACTTTTTTTTGCTACTGAGCTGTTTGAGTTCCTCATTCATAGTGTGCACTCTCATGAATTTTTTGATGCTCCCCATGTGGATGAATTTCAAGTTTTTTGTACTAAAATAAAATTACTGAATTACTTTTTTAAAAAGAAAGATTGATTAATTAATTTGAAAGGCAGAGTTTACAGAGAAAGAGAGAGAGAGAGATCTTCTATCCACTGGTTCACTCCCCAGAAGCCAAGAGCCTGGAACTGGAACTCCATCCGTATCTCCCATTCAGGGTTCCAGGTACTTGGGCCATCTTGCACTCCTTTCCCAGGCACATGAGCAGGGAGCTGTATCAGAAGCAGAGCAGCCAGGATTTGACTGGCGCTCTGATACAGGATGCCAGCTTCCCAAGTGGCAGCTTAACCTACGGTGTCACAATGCTGTCCCCTATCTTCTGGTTTTGAAATAGAGAAATATACAGTAAGTTAACATTATCTGTCTTCACCCTACTTGCAACAGAATCCCGAACTCCTTGCTCCTATCTAGCTGTAACCGAGTACCTGTCAATCAACTCTTCCCAAATCTCCCTCTTCACTTCCCTCCCCAGCCAATGGTAACCACAGTAACTTCTACTAGATCACATCTTTTAAGATTCCACACATGAGTGAGATCATGTGAGAGTTGTCTTTCTGTGTTTGGTTTATTGCACTTAACATAATGATCTCCAGTTCCTCCTATGTTATTGCAAGTGACAATATTTCATCCCTTTTAGTGGCAGAGTAATATTCCATTGTGTATATGTAGCACATTTTCTTTACCCATGCTTCTGTTGATGAACTCTTCGGTCCTTTCATTTCCTTGCTATTGTCAGTAGTGTGCTACAATAAATATGGGAGTACAGATGTCTCTTTGGCAGATGGATTTCATTTCCCTTGGATAAATACCCAGAAGTGGAATTGCTGAATCATATGGTAGTTCCTCTTTTCCTTTTTTGAGGAATCTCCATACTGTTTTCCACAATAGAAATTTACATTCCCACCAGTCCAGATTCTTAGGCCATCTTCCATTGCCTTTCCAGGCACATTACCAGGGAGCTGGATTGGAAATGGAGCAGCCAGGTACTCAAACCAGTGCTCTGATATGGGATGCAGTGTCACAGGCAGCAGCTTCTCCCCACATTCCCATCCCACTATGGCAAAACACTGGTCTCTCAATACGTATTCTTAGCACCTTTGTCAAAGACTAATTGGCTGTAGATGCATAGTTTTACTTCTAGGGTTTCTATCTAGTCTGTTCCATTGATCTCTTTTATGCCAAATACCATGCGGTTTTAATTACTGTAGCTTTGTAATATATTTTAAAGTCATGTAGTATAATGCCTCCTGCTTTGTTCTTTGTGCTCAAGATTTCTTTGGCTATTTGGGGCCTTTTGTGGTCCTATCAAAATTTTAATAGTGTTTTTTCTAGCTTTGTTAAAAATGACATTGAGATTTTGGTAGGGATTGCATTGAACCTGTAAATTGCTTTGTTAGTATACACATTTTTATTGATTTTCTAATCCATAGACATGGGATTTCTTTCCATTGCTTTGTATCCTCTTTAATGTCTTTCATCAGTGATTTACAGTTTTCATTATAGAGATCTTTCATCTCTTTGGTTAAATTTATTATGATTTATTTGTTTAAAATTATTTTAACTTTTTTGTAGCTGTTGGAGGCTTGGTTGTTTTCTTGATTTACTTTTCGGGTAATTCACTGTTGGTGTGCAATAATGCTACTGATTTGTGTACGTTGACTTTGTATCCTGTGACTTGCTGAATTTATTAGTTTTAAGAGCTTTTTGATGGAGTCTTGGGAGTTAGTTCTCTCTAGATAAGACTGCATCATCTGCGGATGGTGACAGTTTGACATCCTCGTTTCCGATTTGGATGTCCTTTATTTATTTTTCTTGCTCTAGCTAGGGCCTCCAGTACAATGGAGAATGAAAGTGGTGCAAGTAGGCATCCTGTCTCCTTTCAGATATTACAGGGAAAGCTGTCAGCTTTCCCCCATTCAGTATTTTAGCTGTTGGTTTGTTGATTTCTCATATATGGCTTTATGATGTTGAGGTATTTTCCTTATATTCCCAGTTTGGTCCTTTTTTTCATGAAGGGATATTAAATTTTAGCAAATAACACTTCTGCCTTTATTGAGATAATCATGGGATTTTTGTCCTTTGTTCTGTTGCTGTTTGTATTGCACTTAGTGATTTCCATATATTGAACCCTCTTTGTATCCATGGGATGAATCTCGGTTGATCATGGTGAATGGTCTTTCTAAGGTACTGCTCGATTTGGTTTACTAGAATTTTGTTGAGGATTTTTGCATCTGTGTTTATTGTAGCTTTGCTTTGTTGTTGTCAGCAAATGAGGACAATTTAACTTTTTCCTTTCCAATTTGAGGTTCCTTTATTTCTTTTTGTTGCCTAATTTTTTTGAATAGAGTTTCGAGTACTATACTGAATCAAATAGTGAGAGTGGACATCTTTATTTATTTATTTATTTTTTGACAGAGTGGACAGAGAGAGAGAGAGACAGAGAGAAAGGTCTTCCTTTGCCGTTGGTTCACCCTCCAGTGGCCACCGCGGCCGGCGCACCGCGATGATCTGAAGGCAGGAGCCAGGTGCTTATCCTGGTCTCCCATGGGGTGCAGGGCCCAAGCACTTGGGCCATCCTCCACTGCACTCCCTGGCCACAGCAGAGAGCTGGCCTGGAAGAGGGGCAACCAGGACAGAATCCGGCGCCCCAACCGGGACTAGAACCCGGTGTGCCAGCACCGCAAGGCGGAGGATTAGCCTAGTGAGCCGCGGTGCTGGCCAATAGTTTCTTTTAAATCATAAATGGATATTGAATTTTATCAAATGCTTTTTCTTTTATTTTTTTTTTTGTTTTGTTTTTGACAGCCAGAGTTAGGCAGTGAGAGAGAGAGACAGAGGGAAAGAAAGAGAAACGTTTTCCTTCCGTTGGTTCACCCCCCAATGGCTGCCACGGCTGGTGCTGTGCCTATCCGAAGCCAGGAGCCAGGTGCTTCTCCTGGTCTCCCATGCGGGTGCAGGGCCCAAGCACTTGGGCCATCCTCCACTGCACTCCCTGGCCACACCAGAGAGCTGGCCTGGAAGGGGGCAACCGGGACAGAATCCGGTGCCCCAACCGGGACTAGAACCCGGGGTGCCGGCGCCGCAGGCAGAGGATTAGCCTAGTGAGCCTTGGCGCTGGCCTTTCTTTTATTTTTTAAAATTTAAAAAATTATTTTGAAATTAGAGAGAGTGAGAGAGAGTGCGCAACAGCTCGCCCACTCATTGGGATCATTCCTCGAATGCCTGCAATAGGTAGTTTGGGCCTGGGCCTGGGCCTGGGCCAAAGCCAGGAGCCAAGTGCCAGGCATGTGATCGAGGTCTTCACATGAGTGGCAGGAAACCACTGCTTGCCCCACCACCACTACCTCTTAGGGCTTGCTTTGTCAGGAAGCTGGAGTCAGGAGTCAGAGGCAGGCTATGACACCAAGCACTTCAGTTTGGGAGGTTGTGTCTTTTTTTTTCTATATTTTTATATTTTTGACAGGCAGAGTGGACAGTGAGAGAGAGAGACAGAGAGAAAGGTCTTCCTTTGCCGTTGGTTCACCCTCCAATGGCCGCCGCGGCCGGCGCGCTGCAGCCGGCGCACCGCGCTGATCCGATGGCAGGAGCCAGGAGCCAGGTGCTTTTCCTGGTCTCCCATGGGGTGCAGGGCCCAAGCACCTGGGCCATCCTCCACTGCACTCCCTGGCCACAGCAGAGGGCTGGCCTGGAAGAGGGGCAACCGGGACAGAATCCGGCGCCCTGACCGGGACTAGAACCCGGTGTGCCGGCGCCGCTAGGCAGAGGATTAGCCTATTGAGCT